TGGCGGGCGTCCCGAAGCTGCTCCAGCTGGCGCTGCCCGCGGCGCAGCAGGTGCTCGATGCGCAGGACGTCGGAGGCGGGCAGCGCGGCGTTCCTCCGGAACTCCTCGCGGACGCGGGGCGCGAAGCCCGGCTTCCCCTGGGCCGCGCGCAGGCACTGCTTGTACAGGCTCAGCACCTCCCGCTGCAGCTGGCTGTGCCGCGCCATGGGGCACGAGGGGCGGCGCTGGCAGGGGCGACAGGGGCGGGCGTCAGTGCCGCGGGAACCCGTGGCCTTGCACACACACGTGCAGCAAGCACACGGGATCCTTGTTATGCATGTATGAGCCGTCATGCCCCCCCGCTTTTGCACGTGCGTGTGCAGGCAAGCGTGCAGACCCTGCTTTGCACATGAGCATGCAAGCAAGTGTGCAGGCTCCTCTTCAATCGTGTCGCTCACTTCTACGCATGCATGTACAAGCAACCGGGCACCCCCACCCCCGTTTGCATGTGTGTGTGAGCAGCTGCAAGACTCCCCCCCCCTGCACATGCATGCAAACCACCGTGTGCCGCATTGCACAGGTGGGTACAAACAGCCGCACCCGCTTTTCTGTCTTAACATGCACAAGTGGAGCTCTAGTGCCCTGCCCGGCCCGGCCCCCCCCGTCCCAGTACCACCCCCCCGTCCCTACCTCCACTTCCGATCCGGCCTGGAACGTTGAGACACCGACTTCCCCAGGCCTCGCTCCCCATTGGCTGCGGCGGATACACTGCGGCCAAGGCCCCGCCCACCCCGGCCAGGGGGTCAAGGGGCGGGGCGGGGGCTGTCCCGCCCCACGTGTCGGGGTTTGACCCGCGGGCTCCCGGCGGGAGGGTCTCGCCGCGCGCTGCGCTGGGGCAGGAAGGGTTTCCCCCCTGCTCAGACTGGTCCGGGCTGGGGGGGGTTGCCGTCCCCTGCAGTGGGGGCAGGGCCAGGGGGCTCTTGGGTGCACCCCCCAGCCCCAGCTTTCCCGGGCGAGGGTCGGCGCTCTGTCGTGTAGCGTGAGGACGAGGGTGTGGGGTGAAGCGCTGGAACAGGCTTTCCAGGGAGGAAAGCTCCATCCTTGGAGGCGTTGCAGCCCGGGGTAGACCGAGCCCTGGCTGGGATGTGGTTGGGGCTGGTCCTGCTGGGAGCAGGGGGGGACGAGATGCGACCCCCCAGGCCCGCTCCAACCTGAATGCTCATAAAATCCTGCCGGACCTCGGCGTCGCCTCACCGAGGGACGGCAGGAGCAGCTTGCCTTGTCCTGGGCAGCAGCAAGCGGC